CCCTCTTTTGAAATAAAAATGAACCCCAGTCCTACTTTACAGAGGAATGTAGATGGCTCATAAACACGTTAACTTTGTTTCACTCATCATAGCTACTTTGTTTTTTGTAGACTATTACCTCTATTCAATCTTCGGCCTGAATGATTAGGTAACATACAAGACCAGTCTGTGTTTGCATTCATCTGAAGGTATTCTGGGGCCTTCTCCCACCCCCAGTTAAAAGCCATAAAGGAGCATTTATGCTCCCATCATCATTACAAATTGATACATTGCTTGGTATTTGCCTTATAAAACTCACAGATTCTATGCAGCTTACCCCCCGGTTAAAGGATCCAAGGGCCAAATATCTACTGCGCCTCTTCTACTTCTTGTAATAACAGCACCTTCTCTTGATGATGTGCCTCCAATGATATAATAAACATCTGCTATAATGGGCGTTTTGGCGAGCATAAAAGCAGCTGTCTCAAAATCTTCTGCTTCACTTAGAACCTACAAAGAAGATTCCACACAATATTCTCAAGCTTGGATAAATATCTGTTAGCCAGACTGTAGAGCTTCATCGTAAAAACAGCACAAAATACCCAAGATGTTGGGAGAATCACAGCTGGTGAGGGTTTCCTTTCAACATTTTTATACTTAGGTGATGGGATCTGGCATGCCTGAAGGTATCATACAAAGTTCTACAAAGAACTAGATGGATGTTTTTCAGAACAATGAAAAAAAAATAGCACCTAATTTTAGAAAGAGAGCTTCTAGCCCTCTTCATAAAGTCATAATAGAGGGCCTAGAAAATTGCCAAAGACGGGTCTGTATTTGGCCAATATAAATAAAGAATGAGTGGGTCAAGTGACTTTCACTTCTCAATATCTACCCATTTGAAAGAAGTTTCAATAGATGCTAGAGGCTATAACAAGCTGTACAGTGACTTCTGGAAGAAGATAAGAAACATTTTTTAAAATGTAATTTTGAAATTTATCATGGAAATCTTCTTAAGCTAGATTATAGAAAGAAGAGAGGTATGTTGTAACCGTAGAGTAAATGGTAAACTTATAGTTGTACTTATAACTGCTGTAAAGAAAATTGGAAACTACTTCTTTATATTTTTTCTTTCTTTTCTATTTTTTCTTTCTTTTATTCCCTTTCTTGCACTTCTCTTTGGTTTCTTTTTCTTACATTATATCTGTGTTAGTTTTTATATATACAATGGTACCTCTAGTTACGAACTTAATCCGTTCCGTGACTCTGGTTGCAACTCGA